CCAATGTGACTGTTTACCATGCTTGTGGCTCCCTGTCAATGACCTTATAGGGGGCTGGGGGGGATGGCTCAGTGGGTAATGAATGCACGGTCAGTGCAAGCACGAAGACCTGAGTTCAGATCCCCAGACCCCCTGTAAACTGGATACAATACTGCATGTCTGTGATCCCAGCACTGTGACATCAAGGTGGAAGGCAGAGGCAGAAGAACTCTCTCAGGAGCTTGCCCAGACTACACAGCTTGGAACAACAGACCCTGTCTCTGATAAGGTCGGTGAGGCTGGGCACCCAAGGATGACCTCTGACCTTCACACAGTACACATGCAAGCACACACACACCCCTTAATGGGAAGCTCCCATTTTTCATTTTGCAATCACCTTGAGACCTGGAGGCCATTCTTACCATGGTGGGGGTACTGAGGCCAGACACCCAGGAAGGAAGCCCAACCAGAACCTCTAGACCCAGCAGGCCCCAAACTGAGATCAGACTCATGAACCAGAACTGGCCCTGCTTGGCATGGGATAAATGTGTAAGGCACTTTGTCCTCCATGTGCACTGCAGAAAGTGATCTTGAAGTGTCTGTACACAGGAAATGTATGGTGTTCCTTCTGCAGAAGGTAAGGAACTGGATCAGCATCTGTTGGGGACCACACACAGAATCCCCAGGACAGAAGTTCCCATGGTGAATGACACTGTCCCGGAGGCACTAGCATTAATTCTTTACAAGGAAAGGGGTGAAAAAACCCTTTACATATTGCAGGTCCCCATGATCAGTGAGGGCTGTGGTACACAAACACAGTCTATTTATGATGCCTGTATCCCATGGCTCAGTGACTAAGACAACGATGTAAAAGTGGAAAGAGAACCAGGAATATGGCTCAGTGGTAGAGCACTTGCCTAACACGCACGAGTCTCTGCGTTCAAACCCAGTCCCATACACAAAGTGTTCTGTGAAGACTCAGGCTGTAATTTTGGGGTGACCCACTTGTACACTGTTGATCTGGGAGTTGGCAATAATACCATCCGATATTTAAATAGAGAGAAAACTACTCAGTTTTCATCCAGCCAACGTCTCCCATTCATGCATTTCCTATGAAGAACAAGGGCTGGAGTGGTTTTCAAACCGGTGTTTCCCATACCAGGAGACTCTTGCTCACGTGTGTGCACAGCGTAGGCTGTCCCCACAGGTCACCTCCAGGTTCCAGCTAGCACCAGACCACATCCTCTCTCCCCAGGAGGGACAAAGACATCAGGGGTGTCTGTTGAGTTGGGCCCCAGCTCCTTCTGCCCCCACAGTCTCCTTCCTGTGGCTAAGACCCAAGGGCATGCCCATGTCTCCAGGGTCTGCGGTGGGCTTGGTGGTGAGCTGGCCTGTTGACCCCCAAACCACAGTTCATCTGCAGCATCAACATGGCTCCCAGGAAGAGTGAGAGTAACTGGTAACAGTGACTTCTGAGTCCCCTTGGCTTCACTCTCAATGGCCTACTATGCACGGAGCCCACAGCCACCCCGTGCTCGCACTAAGGAAGTGGTGGAGGTGACCTACACTCTTGTCCTACTTTGCATTCTTAGATGCATCTCGAACAACCCATCTCAGGGAAAGGAGCTCAGCTAGGTTCCATCTCCATCTGCAGGGGATTTGCCTTCAACAAAGCTGGCTGTGTCCTGAATGTTTCGTGTTATCAACAGGCAAATCTGGGAAGTCACTTAATTTATAAACTAGACCACCGACAGAAAAAGGATCATTATAGGAAAAACTATGCAGACCAATTTCTTTCCTGAATTTTCCATTTACTATTTTGGCTGAACAGGAATACCTGAAACTGAAGGATGAGAACCCACAGCTAAGGGAGACGACCGTAAACCTCTGACTGTCCTGGAAATGACACATGAGCTTGCCTCTCTCCTTCCAACTCCTGCCTCCCTAGTATCTGTTTCTCAAAGGCAGCTAGAGCCATCTTCTCAAAAAAAAAAAAATGCCTAGATCACTGCTGCAGACAATCCACCCCTGCTGCTCTGACCTCAAGGCCACCATCCTCTGTTGTTTCCACTCCCCAAACTGCTCTTCTTTCCGCCCTTCCTGGGGCTGTGCCCACCCCACCCCATGGCCGCCCTCCAGTTCTTAACCTGTGTGACTTCCCCCATGTGTTATGATTTACTCCCTTAGGCACTGGCATCTGCACTTATAGCTAGCCTTATAACACAGGGATGAATCACATAGCAAAACTGCTCCACGTGCAAGGCTTTGTGACCCGGCCCCCACCTACCCACTCAAAGCTCAGAGCAGTGCCTGGCTCAGGAGGCAGCCAGCAAAAACTTGAGAGTCTGGGCATGAGCGGTGGGAGAGATCAGGGGTCAAGGACAGAGGGGAAGGAAGGGAGAGGACAGAGGGAGCTGGAGAGGATGGAAAAGGGACAGGGAGAGACTCGTTACTGGACCAGCTGCCTGCACAGCCTGGAATGTCCCATACAATATAAAGCTTCAGGAAGGGAGATGAATTCCAGAAGAGTTTACAGTCAAGAAAGTACAGGTCATTGCTTACAGACCACATGTCAAGGATGGATGAGGGTGACCTGCTTTACCTGGAATGTCACATTTCCCATTTCAAGGGAACTATTTTTTATTATTAATCATTCCATTAGTTTACTCAAGGAAATTTTTTAATAGCACCTTTAACCATCAGACTGGGAAGCAAATTAACTCTCAGACCAAGGAAGAAAAGGCCCAGAAAGGCAAGAGCATGCAGGAATGCCGTCCAGAAGAGAGGCACGTGGTGGGGCACTTGGTCATGGGCCAAGCTTGGAAGTGCTAGGCTGTGGAGTTCCTTGGACCCAAGGGAGAAGCAGAGCAAACTTCTGAGGCCAATGCTTGCTTCTACGCAGAGACCAGGCCTCATGTCCACTGTAACCTTGATCACACACTGCTGGTATGTGGCCCATGTTCTGGGCAGACAGTTCTGGCCTCAGGGGGAGGGAACCCTTTAAATGACAACAAGAAGAAAAGAAGCCACACCCAGTCACCCTCAGGCAGACATAAGCATGTCTTGAGTCCACCTGTCTACAGTAAACCCAAAACAACAGAATTCAGAACCCTGCACCACAGAGGGATGTGTGGGACTGTTCCCTGGGTACAGGACCAGGCCTCTCAGGAGGACCCAGAGCCTTGTCAATCAAGAGCCAAACTGTGCCCACATCTCACCTCAGAGTACACTGAACAGAAACCTTGGGAACAGGGCGAGCCAAGCACCAAACATAAACTGGCCAGTGACACCTTGCTGCCTTGGGGACAGATGGCTCAGGCCCGGGTGTGAGGAGGGGAAGCATAAGTGGAGACACCTGAACACAGCATTTGAAGGACCAGTGCTGAGCGTCAGGCCAGACCTGTTATGGGCCACACCTCCAGGACTGTGGGGTGGTGGAGGACCAGAGACCACAGAAATGACTTCCCTCAGAGTCTCTAACACATCCTGCTGTCTAGGAAGCGCCAGGGCACCTCCTGGCCTTACAGATTTTTAATGTCAACCAGGACAGTCAAAGTTCTGAGATGTCCTGAAAGAACCTAACCTTTTCACCTTTTAAAACCTCAGACTGTTCCCAGAAGATTCTCACCAATTTTGAGGTGGAGTTGGGGTGAAGGGGGGACGAACACTGGGGAGAAGGTACAGAAGAAAAGAATCCTGCAGTGGAAGCCATCAAATCCCTGGATGTCTGGGGGTTGAATCATGTTGGGGGATGGGGGGCTTACCCCAACATACCTGTGAACCTTCCTGTGTCTAGAAAACTACCTCTGGAGGCCTCGCTGGGTCCCCAAGCCCAGCTGCTTCCTCTGCTACAGGAGCCATCCCATCTAAAGATCTGTGGATGTAGCAGACACAGGTGACCCCCTCTGACCTACCAAGGTATATACCTGCAGTTCCATAACTGAAGTGACCAGCATTCATCTTTAATGCAAGATGTCAGTCAAGCTGGGAGTGGGAGGGGTCAGAACATCTCTGCTCCCAGAGACCAAACCAACACCTCCCAGAGGCTGCTGGGAAGCACCTGCTCTGTTCAGACACTAATCCCCTTGCCTCCGATGGGGTCAGTCCCCCACCTCCACATGGAATGGAGTAAGGCTGGTTACACCTGGGTTTCTGGAAGCTGCAACCAGAGCTAGAGCTGAGGGCAGGAGAAACGGGCCACTTGGTGTTTCCTTTTCAATTCTGAACCCTTCATCCCAGACTCCTTGTCCTCTGGAGCTTCCAAGGGAAGAGAAGTCTCCTCTACCTGTCCCTCTACCTGTCTCAATGCCTTCCAGGCACCCCTTCCTCTGAGAGCCCAACAACCTCTGTCACAGCTGCTATGACGGCTATGCCTCTGGCTGGGCTAGGTGCCCACAAGCAGGGTGGGGAGACCCCTCCACACAAAGCCTTTTCCATCCTCTTCCGGGCCCTGTCTCCCTATCAGCTGAGCTCAACACAGCGGAAGCCTGTTGCTTCCCTCTATCAATGGTCTCTATGTCCTGGAAGCTCGTGGCAGAGCTGCCCACAGCCCCCATTCACGCTCCTGAGAGAGTCCCTTTCAAGGGTTTTGTTCTCCCCTCAGTCTCCACCCCCCCCCCCCCCCCCCCCCGTACATAGAAGAGGGCCATAAAGTGGGATTTTCCTCTATGGGAAAGACAGGCGGCTCCCTCTCCCTTCCTTTCTGCTTTCCTGCTGTCCATCTAAATGTGGCCACGGAAGGAGAATGTGGAAGTGGGGAAACAGACCCAGTTCATGACCTCAGGGGACACCCCTGTGGCCAGATCTCCCTTCACTGGCCTTTCCTACTGAGTGGCAGGAGGGGACACCTATGACGGCCAGCACTTACCCCCACGCTCCTGCAGGGAGACGGTGCATGTGTGACACTAAAGGATACCTTATTCTTAGCCTTCAAGTTAAAATGGAGACACTGGTACATAGCAGGTGGCAGGGTACACTAGGGACTTCCAGGATGGGAATACCGAGCAAGCAGAGCTTCTTACCGTCATCCAGGTAGGTCTGGTCCAGGTTCTGCTCCTGTTTGACTGTCACTCCCGTGGGCAGAGCATCCTTCTGGTCACTGACTGGGGGTCCGTTTTTGGCAGCTCTTTGGCTCGGGGCAGTCTGTTGCTGGATGACCGTGGGGTAGGAGCCTGGGCTCAGCCTCTGACCTTGGTTGATGGGAGGCGGCCCTGGCCTGGCAGAGCCGGGGGCGAAGTTTTCACAGTACATGATGTGTTGGAACTCCTGATGACCCCCACCACGAAGCTGCTGGTTGGTGGGTGAGTAGTGGATCACAGGTGAGGCCTGCTGGCTGCCCGAGGATGTGTGTGGCAGGGTGGAGCCTTGCCCCTGCCCCTGAGAACCAGCATGCACCAACACAGAGCGGTGGGCATCAGCCAGACCCAAGGGTGCTGCCAGGAGGGATGGCTGTTGGTAACCCAGCAGGCCCGGGCTCAGGCTCTTGCTCCTCTGGTAGAGGGCGGCTGCAGGGCTCTGCTGCTGGTATCGAGCATCGGGGGATGAGAGCCCCGAGCGGAACTGTTGGCAGGGGGCCATGGTAGCCACAAGACAGGAGGGGGACTCGGCCAGCATTGGGTGCTGTGGGTAATAGGGCTGGCTCCCCAGGCCTCCATGGGCGGGGCTGCAGATCAAAGACGGTTCGTATTCATCGCTGGGCTCTGTCTTGATGGCAGGGACTGTGGGAGAGAAAAGCACCGGGCTGAGGTGAGCATGGCCACCTGTGAGTATGTGCTGGGGGAAAGCAAAGTGAGTCTGGCTTTGGGAAGCCTCTTGGGTGGTCTGTTATCCTTGGGCTAACAAGATCTCCCTGGGATTGTTTTCAGGTGAACCTTGACCTTGGAATGCCCTTGAACTGCAAGCTTTCCCAGCTGTGGACAGGTGGAGGTGAGGCTAGACTCTACTTGAATCTGTACAGCCAGGGTAGAAACTGAGAAGAGAAAGCTCATGGGAACCCCCACCTCCTCTGGACCCCATTGTCTCCCTGCTGCATTCCCTCCCACTGGACAATCTGACAGGATCTGGGGTCACTTGGAGACAAATCTCTAGGCATGTCTGGGAAGGACTTTCCATTTGGGGTGAATGTGAAGACCCCCAAACCCCTGAAAAAAGGCAGCAACATCCCACGGGCTGGGTCCTGGACTGAAGGGAAAAGAGAAAATGTGTTCTACAGAAGCATTTGTCTCTCTGCTTCCTGACTGACGTGACGTGACGTGACGTGACCAGCCATCTCACACTCCTGGGCCTTTCCCACCATGAAAGGAGAGTCAGAGTGAACCTTTCACCTGTCCCTTAAGTTGCTTTTGTCAGGTGCCGGTCATACCAATGACAAAAGCGGCTGCTAACCTGCCCTAAATCCATGTCTAAGCATCGCAGGGTCTGAGAGGGAGGGACAACTACATAAACAAGTGACAGGCTTGTCCCCAAGTATGAATGGGGCCACCTCCTGAGGGTCAGAGTCGGAAGAATCAAACAGAAGCATAATTCTGACTCAAGGTCCTCAAGATCACTTCTGAAAATGCCTTTCAAGGACCAGCATCTCTGTTCTGGACTGCTAGGGACCTGAGGGTTGGGCCTTGCTGGGGTCCTGTTCCACCAGCCAAGCATTGAGGCTCAGCTCAGGGAGGCCTCGCTACTGCAGGTGAGGGGAGAACACACCAGAAAGCAGCCTCCTTGCTAAAGGGATTGCTACACATGCAGGCTTGTGCAAGGCTCTCCTAAGGCCTGGGAACCCCACTTGTGTTCCCGACAGGAAGTCACTCACATCCGCCCTCAATGGCATCTTCACAGGAATCGCTCAAGCCTGCTATATCACCAAGGCCAGACATGTGGCCCAGTGGGAGGACAGCGATGCACTGAAGATTTCAGAGCTGGGATTACAGGATTATAGGCCAGCAAGTCTTCCCTAACCTGTTGGGTGGCAGCAGGGGTTGGGGGGGGGACAGGCTTTCCCAAGGGTTTTGTCCTGGGTCCACTATAGTCACCAAAACCATGAGTCATCTTAGAGTTTTCTCTGGAAGCACTCTGTGAAGTTAGCTCCACTTTCTCTGGCCTACAGAAGTTCACGAATAAGACCCAGTCTGGCTGTGCCCCCAAATAACTTCTCTCCACCCATGAGGGGCCAGTCAAGGACCCTGAGTTCCAGAGCATGTCTACCTTACCCTGAACGTCACCAAACCCATGACCAAGAGGAGCAGCAAGAGCCATCTGCTTAGCTGTCAGTAAATGCCCCTTACCCACCACCCAGGAAAACGTGGATGGCAGCTGCCGTCAAAGAAGTGTCGTCACACAAGAGAAAACAGGCTTGGAGGGAGGGAGTCCCTCTGCCCAGGTACCTCAGCTGGGAGCAGAGCGTGGGCGCAGGATGTCGGGGTGAGCGTCTCACCTGGGTGGTAGGTAAAGTGCTGTGGCTGACTCCGTTTCCTCTTTCCGTTGATGACGTAGAAGTTGACTTTCACAGGCACACGGATGTGCTTGTTCCGATACTCAGGGATCTCAACAAAAAGCATGTTCTAGAAGGAAGCAGTTGTCATGAACCTGACCACATGTAGCGTTGCCTGGATTCCCACCCAGATCCCAAGCATGGACCTGCCCACCCTACGGCGGGCAGCAGGCTGGCTTCGTGCTCCACACTTATGGAGATATTTGACTGAAGGGAATTTAACGTTTCATCCCAGCAAGGGAAGTTGATCTAACAAAGTGTGTGGCGATGTCACCGTCACACACCAAAGGGCCTGGGCGGCTCTGTGGGTGCTCAGCTTACTAAGTTCAGTCTGTACGTGCTGAGAAATTCTGAGTTCAGTGTCTGAAGGAGGGAGTGAGAGATGGGGATGAGGGAGAAGGGAGGGGTAGGAACGGGTGGGGGGAGAAAAAAGGGAAGGAGAGAGGAATGGAGGGAGAACAGGGGACAGAGACCTCATTGGGGACACTTAGCTCTCAGGTGGCTTACAGGCTGGCTCTTGTCTTTATCCACTGTGGCTTCCATCTCCCAAATCTGCTGCCCATCTGGAGAAGAGAAAAACAGCAGCCTTTGAAGGAACAGTAGAAGCCAAGGATGAATTCCACCAACCCATGTTCTTTATCATGTCACTTTAGCAATGCACGGAAGTGTGCCAGGGTGTGCATGTGTGTGTGTGCAGGGGTGTGTGTTTATGTGTATATATATGTGTGTGTATATGTGTGTATATATGTGTGTGTGCATGTGTACATGTGTGTATATGCGTGTATATGTGTGTATATATACATATATATATGTGTGTGTGTGTGTGAGCACATGTGTGTGTGTACGTGGGTGGGGAGAGAGAAAGGGAGAGGGAGGAAAAGGAGAGAAAGTGTGTATGTGTAAGAGAGTTGGGGTGTGTGTATATGTGTATATGTGTGTTTATGTGTATGTATGTATAGGTGCATGTGCTTGTGTGTATATGTGTGTATGTATGTATATATGTGTGAATGTGACAGAAAGAATGTGTGTGAGAGAGAGTTATGTGTGTATAAGAGAGAGCTGCGTCTGCATGTTCCAAAGCTCTTTTGTTAGAGAGACTCATGTTCCAGGAGAGGACTTAGCATTAGAAGAGTAAGAAGTCAGGGCAACCACAGACTCCACCATCATAATCTAGTCCAATCCAAATGCCTGTTTCTCTTCCTTAAATAAAGACACTGTTCTCTGTGGCCCCTGACTCCACTGGTCTTTGTGGTACCTTTCCTCTCTTTCCAAAAGGCCCTCAGTTCCAAGGCTGTCTCAGGAGCTGCATTGTGGTCCCAGCTTCCCTGGTGTTCCCATCATCTCAGAACACAGTGGTTTAGCCATCCCTCTCTTGTCAGGACCTAACAGGTGGCCTGAGGATGCCTGACTCATGGGTCACCAGGAGGTGAGAAAACCCCCGAGCCCACCCACACCTTCACTGGGCTCCCATGAGAGTCTTGAGAGCAGGTGACATGGCTCTGCTTAGCGGTGGCTTCTTCTCAGGGGCAGAGGGCTGTTGATTTCCTGAGTCTGAGGCCAGCAAACAGGGCCAAACAAAACTCTTTATTTTCAAATTATAGATTTCTCTCCTGACCACCTACACTGACCGCTAGGCCGTTTTCACTCAAACAAAACATTTCCGTGAGAGCTTCCAGGGTGTTTGTGGAGCGTGAATGCTGAAGGATATTAAATGGTTTTATGAGAAAGGGAACATTCTCGAAGCTAGTAAATGCTCGGAAAGTGCTGAGTCAACGTCCAGCGGGTTCCTCGACGAGGTAGAGACTTCACCCTGCTCGCTACAGTGAGCTGTGACACAGAACACACCCAGACATCTGGCCTCGGAACCCCCTCTTTCTGGAGCAAAGCTATTACTGTCCCCTGTGATTGCTTAGGTCCTCCGGCTCTGAGGATTGGCCAGACAATGTGGGCTGTGAGCAGCATTTGAACTCAGTGTAATTGCTTCAGAACAGGTGGACTGGGGGTCCTCACAGCGAGGGATGAGCCAGAGTACTTGGTAACAGCCAAGGCTCTACTCTTGGCCTTCAGTGAGATACAATTCTGAACTTGAACTTGAGCATCTAAAAGGTCAAGTATGGCCACATTTGTGCCTGAAGGCCAGTGCTGTAGCGAGTGACTACAGGAAGCTCTCTGGGGCTTACAAGTGCCAGCCTGGCTCTAGGCTCAGTGAGAGACCCCAGCTCAACAGTATAAGGTGGCATGTCCTCTGTCTGCTCTCAGGCACACACAGACGTACACACCCACGCATACACCATGCCCCCAAAGTAGGGTGGAGAAGGATAGAAGAGAACACCCAACGTCAACCTCTGACCTCCACATGCACACATACGGATACATGTGATCACAAACACATCACAACACCACACACACACACACACACACACACACACAAAGATAACAGGGAGAGTCATTCTTCCTGGTCTTAGATCCCTGTGGAAGGGACCAAGTGACAATCTTGGCTGTCTAGCAACCACATGGTAAAAATGGGATATACAAGCATCTCCTAGGCTGTGATGGCAGCTGAGGGACCAGGAGGAGCCACTCCAGAGGCAGGAGAAACAACGGCCACACAGACATTAAAAGCACCTGGCCAATGCCATCAAAACCCAGCTCTGCAATGTGCAAAGGCCCAGACAGAACTAGTCAGGGTAATCCTCCTCATGTGAGACAGGTCCAAGGTCACTGACAGAGACGCAGGCGACACAGCCAGGCTCCGTGGTTCCAACCTCGCTCACTAACTGCATCGTGACTGCTGAGCCAGAAGCCCACCCCCCAGGAAGCTGTAAGGCTTTCCATCCTCCCAGCCTCTCAGTGCCTGAGGTTAACTCCACACGAGGCTCACTGCTTTGAAAAGCACTTTGGGGGGCTGAGACAGGGGCCAGCCTTGGCTACAGAGTAACTCTCAAGAAATAGACAAAAAAGACAGAGATGGGAGAAAGGAGGGGGTACAGTTGGGTGGGTTTCCAAAGCTCATTCTTGGGAGGATCAGACAGAAATCCTCAAAAAACTGTCAAGAAGCTGAAGTAAGACTGCAGACCTCCAACCCATCTTCCATCCTTGATTTGCAGCAGAGGAAATACTGACGTGCAGAACGGCAGTGTCCGTGAACGGGTATCACCGTGGGTTATGACAGATATGATCTTTGGGTGTATGAATCCAGGAGAGAAGGGTGTGGCCGCCCACTGAGACACTGCCAACAGGAGCTTGAATACAGACTACAAACCAGTCGTCTCAGCACCAAAGGCTCAAAGGAGGTTTGTGTAACGATACAAGAGACAGTCAGCGCAACCAGGTAACAACGGAGTGGCTTCCAGCAGACCAGCAGAGGAAGGTCGCCACTCTGAGAGGCTGAGAAAGGACATCTCTAGGCAGGACCTTGCAGTCACTCCCACTGTAATGGTAGATTCATTGGCTACTCTCAAACCCTTCTTGCCTCTTGCACCCCTTGACACTGTCACACCCTCAAGGTCCTGTATATTCCAGCTACTGCCCTGGCTGCTCAAGGTACCTACCATTCTTAACTAACTCTCAATACCTGCCCTGGTTCCAAAGTCTCTTGTCCCTCAGATTCCAACCTGCACCTCCATAGGCTGCCCACAAGGTACGGCTGATCTTTAGCTCACTAAGAGTCCCGGTCAGAGAGGGGAGCACTGGCTAGTGTCACAGGGCTCCCGGCAGGATTGAGACGGCTGGGCTGGGCACACCCACGTGCCATTCCACCTCCCAGAGCTTAGGTATCAGCTCCTGTTCTTAAGACTTGGGTACCCTGAGGATGCTGCTATGCTAGGCAGGACCCTCTGGAGCTGGCAGGTGAGGGCTGTGGGTAGAACGTGGGTGTCGGGGGAATGCCTGCCCACTCCAGTACACTGGAGGTCTGTGACACACCACCTAGAACGCTTTTTGGAAATGCCCTGTAACAGGGCCAACTCTCTGTCCGCTGTGACGCTCAGCCATTTTATCCCAAACTTTGCAACAAAGAAACCTGTCCTGAAATCCTTGCTTGCTCCAATTAGCTGTGTGGCTTTGGGTAAGACATTGTGTCTCTCTGTCTCCAGTTTAAAACATGAGGGTATTAGAGCATTCACATCTCCTGGTGAATGTATAGATCATTGCATAAAGGCCTGGTAGATAGATGTTCAGTCAGGGCTGTTACGTTGGAGTCCGAGGGTTATTTGAATATGGGCTCGTATCTCAACATGAGTTAACCATGAAAATGCATCCATTTTAAAGTCAGAACCTAACAGGGATTCTCTGTTTGCAATTATGAACATCTACCTGCAGGGCGTGCCTGGAATCTACAAAGAAATGGTATTGAAGTGGGGTCTCTTCCAAGAGATGGCACCTTTGCTTTGAAAAATGGGTCTTTTTAGAGGACTGGAGAGACAGCTCAGTGGTTGGAAGCACTCACTGCTCTTGCAGAGGACCCAGGTTCCATTCCCAGCACTCACAGTGCAGCTCACAACTGCCTGTGACTCCAGCTCCAGGGACCTAACACCCTCTTCTGGCCTCTGTGGGTACTGCACTCACAAGGTGAACATGCACATACATAATGAAAACAAAATAAATCGTCAATGTATAGAAACTGTTTTAATGGGTCTTTTCAAGCTGGGTGTCACAGCACACACCAGTAATCTTGGGCCTTGGGAAGGTAAGGTAGGAGGATTTGGAGGGAAGAGAGGAAAGAAAGGGAGAAAGGGGAGTGAGGAAGAGGAGGGAAAGGAGAGAAAGGGTTGCATGCTGGGAAATGCAGCCAGCAGTGACCAAAGCCAACTAAAGCCAAGGTCTCCCTTCTGCCTTTTGATCTTGAACTCCTGATTCACGCGTCTCCTCCAACATGCTCCGGTTGCAGGCGTAAACCAGCACACACAATTTACGCCGTGCTGGGGATGGAACCCATGGGTTTGCTCATGCTGGATGAGATCTCTACGGTCCTCCTGCCTTCCAGGGGTTCCGCAGACTGGAACAACACCTGGCCTCTCTCCAGAGCTCATGCTAGAGACTCAAAGGTCTTTTCTCTCCTGGAATGGGAACCTTGCCTCTGTCCCCATCCCTCCTGGTACTCATAGCCTCTTCGCTTCTGCCCCTGCTCCCCATGACTCCTGCAGCCACCCAGCCTTCTCCAACCTTCATACCACAGAGGTTGTAGCTCCTGTCATGGAAGGAAGCTGGGGAAGGAGCAGGAAATGTGGGGCAAGAGAGAAACATACAAAAGTCATGTAACTTAGGCCCCAGGGGACTCCTCAATCTCAACCCAGCATCTCCTACTCCCTAGTCCCCAGCCCCACTGCAGTCTAGGGCTCAGACATGCTGGGAACAGACCTGAGAGGAGAGGATGCAGTGTGTGGCTGCCATCTCGAGATGAAATAAAGGGATTTGGTCTTTGGAGCAGATATTTGGGGAAACTCCCTTGTCCAAAGGGAACAGGGCTTGGCGGCCAGCACGGAGAAAGCCCTTCCAACCTTAGTCAGAAGGGAAAGAAAGGAGCCAGTAGTTTTGAGCAAAGAGGCCGGGGACAGAGGAGTCT